CCGTGTCCCGCCACGCTGCACTGTGCCACGCCACCCCGTGCTGCACCGTGTCCCGCCACGCTGCACTGTGCCACGCCACCCCGTGCTGCACCGTGTCCCGCCACGCTGCACTGTGCCACGCCACCCCGTGCTGCACCGTGTCCCGCCACGCTGCACTGTGCCACGCCACCCCGTGCTGCACCGTGTCCCGCCACGCTGCACTGTGCCACGCCACCCCGTGCTGCACCGTGTCCCGCCACGCTGCACTGTGCCACGCCACCCCGTGCTGCACCGTGTCCCGCCACGCTGCACTGTGCCACGCCACCCCGTGCTGCACCGTGTCCCGCCACGCTGCACTGTGCCACGCCACCCCGTGCTGCACCGTGTCCCGCCACGCTGCACTGTGCCGCTCCGGCACTGGCCTGGTCCGCACTGACCTCTAGTGGGTGCAGCCAGGCCGTGGGTGTACATATTGCACACGGGCGTTACAGCCCTGAGACACCTCCTGCTCACCCAGTTTTTCCCAGCCCTTCCTGCTTTCCGGTATCTAAACCGGTGCTGGACACACCGGGTGGCCGGGACCTGCCGGTCCCTTTGGCGGGTGGGTGTTAGGTACAATCCTGCAACTCTTTTGGGGGCAATCAGAGGGGTGCGGACGTGATGCTCGGTGTGCTTGGGGTGGGGGTGCAGGCTGCAATGTGTGGTTTCTCTCTGCTGTGCCGCTCACCTCTGCTGTCCGGTGTGTTGCAGGAATGCCAAGAAGGAAGGGGACCTGCTGACCGCTCAGGCGCGCCTCAAAGATGTGGAGGCTTTGCTTAACTCCAAGGAGGCTGCGCTCTCCACAGCCCTGGGCGAGAAGAGGAATCTGGAGTCTGAAGTGCGGGACCTGAGGGCGCAGGTGGCCAAGGTAAGTGGTGGCAGCCCTGTCCCCAACTGCCCCAGGGACCCCCCAGGTCCCCTCTGTGCCAGGGGACTGTGGGGCAGAGGCACGGCTGGGTGGTAGGTCCCTGGCCAGCGCCGGGTGCTGTGCCTGGATAGTCCCCAGGAGCCGGCCGTGACGGTCCTTCTCAATTCCCTGCAGCTGGAAAGTGCCTTGAGCGAAGCCAAGAAGCAGCTGCAGGATGAGATGCTGCGCCGCGTGGATGCTGAGAACCGGCTGCAGACGCTGAAGGAAGAGCTCGAATTCCAGAAAAACATTTACAGCGAGGTGAGCCGCGATGAGCCGCTGTGGTGCCAGGCTCGCTTGGGATAACGCCTCCCGTGTGTTGTGTCTCCATCCCCAAGCCGATCCCACTCTGAGGTGACACTGTGTCCCCTGACCTGTCCCCAGGAGCTGCGGGAGACCAAGCGCCGCCACGAGACCCGGCTGGTGGAGATCGACAACGGGCGGCAGCGGGAGTTTGAGAGCAAGCTCTCCGAAGCCTTGCAGGAGCTGCGGAGCCAGCACGAAGCCCAGATCAGGCTTTACAAGGAGGAACTGGAGAAGACCTATGGGGCGAAGGTGAGCAGCACCCACACGCCGCCATCCTCTTCCCACCCTGCCCTGCGGAGTGCCGGTGGGCAGAGGGTGCTGAGGATGCTAACCCACCCGTCTTGTCCTCCAGCTGGAGAATGCCAAGCAGTCGGCTGAGAGGAACAGCAACATGGTGGGTGCTGCCCACGAGGAGCTGCAGCAAACCCGCATCCGCATTGACAACCTGTCCTCTGAAGTCAGCCAGCTGCAGAAGCAGGTGAGTCAGGACCAAGGGATTCCTGTGGACGTCCTCCCCTGGGGATGGTCCCCTCCTGGGGATGGCCCCAGGTGGAGCAGCCACCCTCACCTTCCCTCCCCACACAGCTGGCCGCCAAGGAGGCAAAGCTGCACGATTTGGAGGATATTCTGGCCAGGGAACGCGAGACCAACCGGCGCCTGCTCTCTGACAAAGAGCGGGAGATGGCTGAGATGCGGGCACGCATGCAGCAGCAGCTGGACGAGTACCAGGAGCTGCTGGACATCAAGCTGGCTCTGGACATGGAGATCAATGCTTACCGCAAGCTGCTGGAGGGCGAGGAGGAGCGGTGAGCACGGGGCGCTGCACCTGGTGGGCTATGTGAGTCCCAGCCTTCGTGTTCTCACTGGCTCCATCTACCCTTCTCCTCCTGCCCAGGCTGAGGCTGTCCCCCAGCCCTTCCTCCCACAGAGGTGGATCCCGTAGCCACTTGTCCACCCCGGGCTCCTCCAAGAAGAGGAAGCTGGAGGACAGTGAGAGTCGGACCAGCTTCTCCCACCACGCCCGGACAAGCGGCCGCGTTGGCGTGGAGGAGGTGGACTTGGAGGGCAGATTTGTCCGTCTCAGGAACAAATCCAATGAGGTGCGTTTGCATTCGGGGAGGAACCCTGGGATCCCTCGGGGTGTAGTTCAGCCCCACTTCACCCCGTGGGCAGGAGGTGAACTGGGACAAGCTGGGGAGGAATCAGGGGATCTCAGGGTTGCTGCTCGCTCTCTCGCAGGACCAGGCAATGGGGAACTGGCAGATCAAGCGGCAGAATGGAGACGATCCCCCCATCACCTACCGCTTCCCCCCAAAGTTCACCCTGAAGGCTGGCCAGGTGGTCACGGTGAGTCACTGCCCGGTGAAGGATCCAGCCGAGATCCCAAACCCAGCTGGGCTGTTGGTGACGTGGAGCGGTTGGAGCCAGGGCGCAGGCTCCTTGGCGCATGGCTTTTTTGGGGGGACAGACCCACGTCCCCGGGGTCTGGGCTCTGCAGACCTGAGACGTTGCTTTTCTCTGTGCTTTTCTCCCTAGATCTGGGCCTCGGGGGCTGGGGCGACCCATAGTCCCCCCAGCAACGTGGTGTGGAAAGCCCAGAGCAGCTGGGGCTCTGGGGACAGCCTGCGCACTGCCCTGATCAACTCCAACGGGGAGGTGAGAGCCTGATGGCAGCACCGGGTCAGGGCACAGGAGGGTTGGCAGACACCAAACCCCTCCAACTCCTTTCCTGTCCCCCGCAGGAGGTGGCCATGCGGAAACTGGTCCGCACCGTGATCATCAACGATGAAGATGAGGATGAGGACGACAATGAAGTTAACATCCACCACCGCCATCACCACGTGAGTATGGCACCAGGGAAGGCGCTGGTCCCGGGGGTTCTGTCACAGGGATGCTGGGGGAGCTCGGGTCCAGTCCCAGTCAGGGTGGGAGGCAGCTCAGCATCACACAGGATCAGGTCTTATGGGAGAAGGCAGTTGGGAGGCTGCTGTGGAAACGACCACACGGGAGAAGTCAACAGACCTCTGGCACCTGGAGAAGATTACTGCTTGCCAAAAAAGCTCTAGAGACCTTGCTGGAAGTAATCTCCAACCCTGAGCAACCTTGACCTGCTGCGAAAAGGGCTGGAGGAGTCGGGAGGGAGGCTGAGCTCGCACCTCGCATCGCTTGGAGGTGGAGGACAGGATGGTGGGAAGTTGATGGATGACACTTCTCCGCGGCAGCTGCTTCATCCTCTCTGCTTCACAAGGGTGCTGGAACAAATCCAGAGGTGACTTTGTCCTTCGTCTCAGCCCATCGCTCCCCTCACGGAGCTGAAATATGCACCAGGAAGAGCAGCAGGCAGCAGGCAGAGAGCAGGCAGCGTGCCAGGAGCAGAGCTGCAGCCGCTTCTCCCCATATCAAAGAAAACGTCCCTGGCTGCAGCCCAGGAGCCCCCACCAGCCCATCCCGCAGGGAGAGATCTGTCTTGCACACGAGATGCCCACAGGAATCATGCGCGGAGAGATGCCGTCACCGCCACGCTGTGCCTCAACACTGGCGAAAAATCTTCCAGATGCCACTCCCCAGTGCTCTGTGTGACAGAAGCAGGATGGGGCGTCCATCATCCGCTTCCTCTGAGTTCTCTGGATCTGAAGAGCCGTGCCAAGACGGATATCGATTATCCCTGGGCAGAGGAGCCAAGCTCCTGTGGGCCAGTGCTGCCCATCCATCTGGGGGCTGAATCCTTTCCAAGAGCGAATTTCCCATTGGAAAGCAGTCAGCCTGCACTCTCCCAGGCAGTGAGGAAGAGGATGCTCCTAGATAAGCACAAGAGAAACACGGTTAAGATGTCTCCTGTGTGCTGAGAGCCCGGGGTGCAAGGACAGGGCAGCAGGGACAGTTCACCCATCTGCAGTGTGCCAGCCCCAGTAATTTGGGATTGTAAATACAATAATAATAATAATAATATTTATTATTCTTAAACCACGTGATGGAGAGGATGGGTGGAGTGCGGACCCTCTTTGAAGACTAACTTGAAGAGCCCTCCTGGGTCACACCGGTGCTGCCGTGGTGCTCAGGGCAGGGTGCTCAAGGCAGAAGATGCTTGGGTGGGTGCTCAAGGTCGTTTTGTCTGTCCCCCACCATATCTAGGGTAGCTGCGGTGCCTCTGGGGACCCCGGTGAATATAACCTCCGCTCGCGCACGGTGGTCTGTGGCACGTGCGGTCAGCCGGCTGAGAAGTCGGGCAACCAGAACACTGGTATCAACACCATGTCCTCGGGCTCGTCCACTTCCAGTGTGACCGTCACCCGCAGCTACCGCAGCATTGGCGACTCTGGCAGCATCGGCCTTGGGGACAGCCTGGTGACCAGGTCCTACCTCCTGGGGAACTCCAGCCCCCGTAGACAGGTTAGTGCCGTTTCCAGACCCCGGGTCCAGGCTGTTCCTGCATCATCCTTTCTCAACGAGGCACCGCTGCGGGGGTCCCTTCCCCTCCTTTCTCTCCTCCTCTCTGCTTTTCCTCTTGCCTCCGGCACCTTCGGGCTTGCACAAACCTCTTTGTAAGGGGAGCATGGAGTCTGAGAGGGATTGGAAAAGGATGTGGCCGTAGCGTCTCCCCACCACATCCCATGCTCGGCCCCCTCGGCAGCCCCGGAGCATCCCTCATCCTCCGCGGCTCTTGTTCCACCACTGCCGAGCATTATTCATGCTGGTAATGTGAATATTTCAGCACTTGAATATTAATGCCCTCAATATTAGTCAAATTAGTCAATATTGTTACCCTCATATATACCCTCATATATTACTAATTCTCAAATTTCTGACTTCGGTGCTATAAATACCCCAGCCAAGGGGTATTTATTATACCCCAAGAGCCAGGGCAGACGAAAGCCAGGGGCACACGTGGTCCAGGCACCATGGGCATCCAGAGGGTCCCACTTGGACATCGCTGCCTCCTTCGCAGCCAGAGCAAATGGACAGTGACACAGGGTTATTTTTAATTTTCTTCTTTTTCTTTCTTCCTCCCAGGCTCAGGCTGTGCAAAACTGCAGCATCATGTAATTCTGTGGCACCTTTCCTGTGTTTCCTGGCCATCTCGAGCTTTTTTCCCAAAGCAAAAGAAATTTTTTTTTTCCTTTAAAAAAATTATATCAAAAACCAAGGTTGGGTTTTTTGTTTTCTATA